TGTAGATGAGGATGGATGCAGGGAAGCCCCAGAGACCCCCGGGGACAGGGGGAGGTGGGCAGCATCTCCTCCCCGGGGGTCCGCCTGGCTGCTTTGTAATAGCCTCTCCATGAACCGCTTCTGTGGGCCGCTAGCTCCCTAGCCTCTGCCGTCGAGCTGACAGACACTCGGAGAACATCCGCTACATGCCGGGGCCTAGGCTAGGCTCCAGGTTAAGGGGGGTCAGGAGTGGGAGGGGAAGGAGAATCAGCCAGACCTGGGCTCTGTCCCTGCATCACCACTCCCTGGCTCTGTGACCCATACGAGTGATCGCCTGTGGCCTCAGTTTACCTGGGTGTGAAACAGGGATGCTCACCTCTTCTGTGAGGTATAGAGCAACCCAGACAGACCCCAAAGGAATGAGAGTCAGTTGCCTTCCCTGCGAGGGTGGCGGATGGCGAAGAGGCAGGCCTAGCTGCCCTCACCACCGCCCACTGTGGACACTGCCCTACTTCAGCCCCAGTTGCCAGGGAACCACCGGGTTGCTTGCTAACCTGGATCTCCCTATTGATGGGCGGCCTTTGTCTTTCTGTCTCGGCCACTGCCAAGGAAGGCCTGTGTCCAGATGTGTTTCCAGGCAACTCTAGGCTCTGGAGGCTACAGGGAGGTCCACAGGCCCTAGAGCCCCTGGCTGGGGAACAGAAGTACCTGCCTCCCACCCCCTGCTCCATGTGGGGACCTGCCTCCCACCTCTGTCTCCCCAGTCCTGCCTCCTTGGCAGGTAGCCCAGGGAGCCCTCTGAGAGGCAAATTGTTCCATACCTCTCCCCAGCCTCCTAACCCTTCTCCCATAGGCCCCGAGGGCAGTGCAGGCTTCTCAGCTTGCATCCAAGTCTTGGTGTGACCTGGGCTCTGACCCCTACCTTTCCAGACCTCTCTCCCTTCGTACACCCTCCTTCCTCCCAGACCCTCACCGTGGCTCATCCAGCACCTGTGTGCCAGGCTCTGGGCCAAGCACTGCACGTAAACGGAGAAGCAGCTTGTATACCTCACACCTGCCTGTCGAGGGTGCGCTGTGCCCCGCTCCGTAATTTACACATGGGGAAACTGAGGTATGGCGAATGCTTATTGAGGGGTGACTCTGTGCCAGGCCCTGTGCTGAGTATTTAAGGTGAAGTCTCTTGGCCTCACAACAGCCCTCTGTCTTGGTGGGAGAGGGGGTGTCCACAGCCACAGAGCCAGTGAAGAGCAGAGCAAGGCAGGCCCAGTTAGCTCAGGTGTTCAGATCCAGTTTCAAACCCCCCTGCCTAACCCCAGCCTCTGGGCCCTCCTAGCCTTGGCAGGAGCTGCACACACCCCTGATCCCTGTTCCGCATCCGTCCCCCTAGCTATCCCCAGTTCACTATATACCTGTCCACTCACTGGAGCCAGGCCCTGTGCTGAGCACTGGGCATGGAGTTTGTTGGGGAAGAGGCTGGGTAAACAGGATGGTTACGTGCGGATGATGAATGCATAAGGGGGGCTTCCAGGAGGAAGTGGCTTTGAGCTGAGCTCTGAAGGAAGAGTAGGTGTTGGCAGGTGATGGGAAGGTTTTTCTGGGTGGAGGAAACAGCAGGTACCAGTGGCTCGGTGAGAGAGGCAAGTGTAGGGAGTGAAAGAAGCCCAGAATGGCTGGCGGGGGCGGGGGGGTTGTGCAGGGGCCAGATCCCAATGTTAAGATACCTAGGCTGCACTTGGGGCTTAACTGGAGGCCAAGGGCCAAGGGCGAGGGGTGGTGGGTGACCTCTGGGAGGTGGGAGATCTTTAGGATACTGTGGAGCTTCTGTGGGAGGCCAGGGTGAGCTTGGAGAGTGAGCCTGGAGAGGAGAGCCCCAGGCTGGGGCCTCGTGACCCCACTGAGCTGCAGCTCTGGGAAAGGGGAAGCTGCCCCCAGGGCTGGGTGGTGTCCCAGCTTCCTCTTTCTCTGAGGCCTCCAGGGCTGCACCTCCCTGGGGCTCCGCCGCCCTGGTCATGGCTTCCCTAGCTGGTTTTCTTCCAGGGAATTTCTGGGTCTGATTGTTCGGGCATTTTTGGAGGTGGGGGTGGACCGCCTGTGAGGAAGCCCCCACCCCCACCCCAGCCTGTCCTGCAGAGGCTTCCTGCTCCAGACACTGCTGGGGGAGGGTTTTGTGGTAAATGAGACAGACACCCTGCCCTTGCAGCTGTCGGGGTGGGGGTGGGGAGTGGGGAGCCGCACGAAACAAGCAAGCAAACAAATACTTAATTACAAACCTGGGCCTGCGGTGCAGAGGGAAAGGAGGGAGCCATGGGGGAGGAAATCTCAGGACCGGCGTTAGGCTCATTACCTTCTGTAAACCTCAGTGCGGCCTCGCCCTGGGAGAGAACTGTCCCCATCTTGCAGATGAGGATACTGAGACCCAGCACGGTGAAGCAAGGACTCAGGTCCCACGGGGAGTTGGTGGCAATGGGGACAGGCCCAGGCTAGGAGGCTCCCTGCTATGGGCCTTGGTCGGCCTGCCTGTGACAGTCTTCTTCCTGGGGGCCCTCTGGAGACTTTGGAAGGTCACTGACTGCCTGGCCTTAGGACTAGGCAGAGGAGTAGGGGTGGAGACTTCACGGACACCCACCAGCCAAGGGGCTTTGATCTGAAGTTGCTTTTCAGTCAAGATTCCAAGATTCTAGGCTTAGATGCTGGAGGCCTTGTGGGGAAGGGGGCGCAGAGGGCGGTCAGAACAGCAGGTGTGTGCATGGGGGGGGCTTCTGGGTGGCCGGCATGGGCTGCCTGCCTGGACAGGTCCATCGGGGGCTCCGTCTGGCTGCAGGTGGGGGCTGGGGAGGGGAGCGGCTGTCAGCAGAGACTCTGGCAGCCAGACTGGAGTAAGTACCAGTTTGGGATAATTAGAAGGCACGTAATTAGAAGGCGTCAGGGCGCTAGGCGGCGGGTGTCTGTGAATGTGCCTGAGTGGGCCCTTGCTGGCTTGGAGTCTGGCCTTTGGACCCCCATTTTCCTCCTGGAAGTCTCGAGATCACAGCTCCCCATTTGCCTGGAGGTAAGCAGCTGCACAGCCCCTCCTGTGGGCTCGGGTCACCCAGTGGGGGCCAGGCAGGGCCAGAGGTGGCACTGGGGCCCGCTCCTCTGGAGCTGTTGTGCCTCTTTTCAGCCCGGCCCCAGCCCCTGTGGGGCCAGCCTGAAGCCTCGGGGCTCGTGGTCACGTCTGTGGGTTAGATCCTATGAAGAAGGATCTTCATGTGGAGAAGGGCTTGAGTGGGAGCTGGGCCTGGGTAGGGGAAAGGCCACTTTGGGCCAGAAACTGGAAAGGAAGACTTGCGACCAAGTCAGAGGAGCGATGGGCCGGGGGCGGGGTGGGGGGGGTGGGGGGGTGGGGATGGGTCAGGGTATGCTGCCTGGTGGGAGCTGACTGCCAGGGTGTGGCCTTAATGCTGTGGCCCAACCTTCTCCTGTCCCGTTTTCCCCTGAGCTGGCCTTGGGCCCAGAGGCGCTGCCAGTGACCTGGAGAGTCCTCAGCTGTCGTGCCGGCAGCCCCTCCCCCTCCTCTGTGGTGTAATTCAAATCCCTGGCTGCCCGCCTCCCCCCTCCCCCCCCCGCCCCGCCCCGCCGAGGGCCAGGGAGGGGATCAGTTTCCTCGGGCTCCTGGGAAGGCCAGGCCACCTGTAGGTCCGAGGGGCTCGTGTGGGGCCCGGGGTGGGCTGCGTGTAGCGCTTCTCCCGCCGGGCTCGGCACTGGGCAGCACGGGGCTCCAGGTGGGGTCCCCTCACTCTGCTGGGGGCCCTGGGCCAGGGGCTTGGCTGCCCCTTAGGGGTCAGAAGCTGTGTGGCCTGTGGCCGAGGCCCGACAGACAAATCCAGCTTCCTTCCCCTTCCTGAGCCTGGAGGCAGGCATCCTGGAAATACGTGACGGGGACTCCCTCGTTCTGTCACGGCCCCTTTTGTTGTCTAAACCGAATCCCCGATCCTACTCTTTCAAGCTGTGTACTGGCTAGAGGCTTCTCTCCAGAGGACGCCATACCCCGAGCCTGGGTGCTCAACCTTAGGCCAGTGGCCATCTGTGCCCTCACCCTGCCTTATTGTTTGTTGGCACTCCCCACCATCTGGCAGGGGCATGTTCCCCGTTCATCTGTTGGCCATTGGTCAACAGGGATGTGAGCTCCCTGAGGACAGGGACAGTGTCTGTCTTCTACTACTTGTGCTAGGGGCAGTAGTAGGTGACCAAGAGAGGACAGAAGGCTGCATGCTGGCCACTAGGACAGCGGAAGGTCTGCTCCTGCCCCAGAGACGCAGTCAGACCCCCCCCCCACAGTGTTGGACACATCCGTCCACATCCTTGAGCGGAGAAGACCGCCGGGTGGGGAATGGGACACGTAGGGGGGCCAGGGCTGTGACGGGGTGGGGTAGGGAGACATGCAGGAGCTTTGGGGAAAGGGAAATCTGGAGATGCTTCTGGAAAGAGAGGCCTTCGTGTTGGTCTTTGATGCCTGGGGTAAAGGGCCTTCCTTGGAGCAGAAACCGCAAAAGTGAAGGCAGAAAAGCAGGAAAGGCCAGGGCCCACGAGGAGGTCCAAGCAGTGGGAGCCTGGGAGCTAGAGGTGAGGCGAGGGTCTGGGCCTGAGAGGATGGCAGGCCCTCTTGGCCCAAACCCCCAGGAGTGCTGCTGCAGCCTTCCTTCCTCCCAGGCCCCCTGCCCCTGTCCCAGTGCACCTGGCTATTTATGGAAGGGGAAGGAAGCCCTTCCTCCTCCGGGAAGCCCCCCAAACCTGGCAGAGCCCTCTGCTCCCCGCTCTGCTGCCCTGGGAGGCTAGCCCCAGCCAGCGCCCCCCCACCTCTGCGCAGGTTTGTGGGGAAAGAGGGAGCGTGGTGAATCCAGGCCAAACTACCGCCGCTTAGCCTGCCCCACACCTTGCAAATTGCCATCTAGTCTTGTCCTGGAAGCAGTGCCGGGAGGGCAGACCACAGCTGCCTGCCTGCTCCCACCTCCTGCTGAGCCTCTCCTCCTTCTTTCCCAGGGGCCTGAGGATGAAGCTGAGCCCGCCACATTGGCCCCTGTCCTGCCTTTTTGTGGTGAGTTGGGGATGGGATCCCGGTACAGAGCCCTGTACCCCCCAGCCCTCCGTGCTCAGGGACCCCATGCCAGGAGCCATGCCAGGGTTGGTTACACAGCTTGGCAGGTGATGGGAGCCAGATCTGGGGCCTGAGGAGGGCCCCAGAGCCTCCTACGTGATATTCCCTCTGCCCTCCAGGGCGGCTGGCTTTACTCTGTGCCTGTTACCCCAGGCTGGGGCCAAATTGGAAGACAGGTTGCAGGGAGCATCTCCCCACAGCAGGAGGGATTCAGGGCAGGTAGTTCATTCTGGAATGGGGAGCAGAGGGAGCTCTCAGTGGAATGTGCCTGGGGCTGCAAATTGAGATCCCTTCCTTGGGATGTATCCCGCCCTGTGTGGGTGCAGGAGTGTGAACTGGCTGGCTTTGTGTGGAGAGGTCACGGAGGATGTGGTCCCAAAGACTCTCTTGAGGGCCCAGAATAGGAAGTACCAGCTGCACGAAACAAGCAAGCAAACAAATACTTAATTACAAACCTGGGCCTGCGGTGCAGAGGGAAAGGAGGGAGCCGTGGGGGAGGAAATCTCAGGAC